GGATCCCAGCTCCGCTTCTCATCGTCTTACCACCTGTCTCTTATACACATCTAGATGTGTATAAGAGACAGGTGTGTGTGTGTGTGTGTGTGTGAGTGAGAGAGAGTGAGAGAGTGGACGAAGACGAAGTTGACGGCGATGGCGATGGCGGGCACGGCGCAGACGACAGCGATGTCGTGAAGCGGCGGCGCGTGTGCGAGGCGCGAATGGGCAGCGTACGTACGACCGTAACGTACGTACGGGGCGTGCGTACGGAACGGGCCGCCTGTACGGCCTGTACACCTAAGGCAGGGCCGCAGGGCGTCGGGCAAGGCCGCAGGCGCAGTTGTGTGCGGGGTGTGTGCAATGGCACCCAGGAAAGGGAGGGGAGAGCAGCAGTTTGTCCCAGTCAGTAAGGACGAACAGAGGCAGGCAGAGCTAAAGTTCTGCGGATTCAAGTGGATCACGAAGGGGCAAACACTGTCGAACTCCAATGGGAATTTTCTCATGGAGTGCGAATTGTGCGGCCGGGGGTTTCAGGGCAGTCAATCGAAGGCCGCACAACACTTTACAATAAAGAACAACTGTTCTAAAGTCACCGCGGAGCAACTCGCGAAGATTTGGAACAAGACAAACTACTCGTTCGATCACAGCCACCATCGGAAGATCCTCGACTTCCTCAGGTCTCGTGGGTTTCGAGACAATAGAAATACTTCGAGGAGGGAGCAGGCGGGGGAGGAGGAGTACAACGACAGCGAGGACGAGAGGAGGGCGGCTGAGGGGGGAGGTGACGATAGTGACAGCGATTCACAAGACATGGAGGTGCGGCGAGAGGCGGAGCGTGGCAGGGGTAAGATGAGGGGGGACAAGGCCGTTGACGAGGACAGCACCCCGGACGAGCATGACGACGACGACGATGACGACGACGATGAGGGCGCAGACATTGGGGCGTCTCTTGATGGGGGTCTGATGGCCGCTGGCCGTCGAGGCCAAGAGGGGGCTGCCAAAGCGATGAAGGAGGCCGCACAATCGAAGAAGAGAAAGAGGAAGGCAACGACACCAGCTCCTCCTCTTCCGAAGAAGGGCAAAGTCCGTCGACAGACATCCATGATGGAGACCTTCGATCCGGTGTGGCAACAAGAGTTTTCGAAAGAGTTCCTGCAGTGGTGGTACGTGTACGGCATTCCATTCGAGGCGGCGAGGAGGCCGGAGTACCAGCGAGTGAGGAAGCGGTTGCTCGAGTGTCCGCCGTATACACATCCTGCGTTGCCCACGCACCGTGTCATTTCCGGCGACCGCATCCTAGAGCAGCAGCGAGTTGTGGCGGAGATGGTGGTGGCCGTCCGCAAGGATATTGCGGTGACGGAAATGACCATCCTCACTGATGGTCACAAGTGATGACATCGTGGAGCTGATGACGTCTGTGATGCAGCTGCTGCGACGTTTGGACAGAGGGGGGCGCGTGATGACTCGCATGTGGTCGTGGGCGCTTGCCATGGTCGACAGAGTGGCGAGGGCGAGACTGAATAGGACGTCGAGGGAGGAGCTCAACATCGTTGTTCAGGCTTGTCAGGCGCAGGTCGATCATATGTTGGAGCCCGCACATTGCATGGCCCACCTCCTCAACCCTCGCTACATGAGCATTACGTATTTTGGAGCGGCGAGGCGCAGCGAGCACGACAAGACACTCGCGGAGCAGTCGCTGCGATACCTTCGCCAGCAGACTGGCGGAGATGAGGAGTTGTATCAGACATTGCGCACGCAGTTGGCGGAGTTTCTGAGCCGGGAGGGTGATTGGACGTATGGAGGGGTTGAGGGTGACAGGGAGGCGGCCTCCTGCAAAGGGGAGAAGGAGACGTCGCAGGTGGGGCAGTGGTGGGTTCAGCACGGGGACGGGGTCCCTCTCCTTCAGAGTTACGCAATTCGCCTGACACACACATGGACGTGCGCCTCTCCAGCGGAGAGGAACTAGGCCGTCCATGAGCGTGTTCAGGTGAAGAAGCGTAGCCAGTTTGGTTTTATCAAGCTGGCTCGTTTGGTGGAGATATCCACCAACTTGAGATTGAGTCGTTGTTAGGGGAGGGGTTCAGGGTACGTTTTGCCATGGGAGGATGCTGAGGAGGAGACAGAGGACAGTATTCCTCCACCTCGTGACGAGGGTTTTCGGCCAGCTGACCGAGTCACGGAGGCGCTGCGCGAGCGGCAGGTGCAGCGCGGGCGGAAGGATCACCTTTCGAAGGCTCCGCCCAACGTCGAGACGTATTTCGGTCGTCACGTCACAGTGCTCATGCCGACTGAGTTGGACGTCGTGTACGATCCGGAGCCTGATCCTATGGCTCAGGACCCGATTAAGGCGGAGCCGTGGTCCGATCCAGACGACCTGGCAGTGGAGTCAGAGCCGGGAGATTTTGATGATGGGGGCGATAATGTTCCTCTCGCCAAGATGTTGCGTCCTCGAACGCGTGCTTCCACTGCAGCCGTTGTGCAGCATCCCCCTCCCCCTCCACCTCCGCCCTCGAGTGCTCCTGCTTCCACTGCAGCTGCTGTGCGGCATCCCCCTCCCCCTTCCCCTCCCCCTCCACCTCCGCCTTCGAGTGGTCGGGCTTCCACTGGAGCCGTTGCGCAGCATCCCCCTCCACCTATAGATCGTCCAGGACATGGCGAGCAGGGACTGGGGAGATTGTTGAGGAGGGACGCGACGACAACGACGATGTCAAAGAGGGGTACGAGGGCAGCAGTGAGGACGAGGGCGGCGATGGTACACAGGCTGCAGGTGGTTTGCGGAGGTCGGGTCGACAGCGTGCCGACCGATGCAGTGGTGCAGGCAGGGGAGGCAGGGGTGCAGGCAGGGGCATGGGGGGCGCACGAGACACGGGGGCTGCAGGCCGTGGTGGCGGAGGACGGGCGAGGCGAGAGTCTGCTTCGTCCACTCGCACTGTGCACTTGGTCGATGAGGGTGCCGCGACAGCAAAGGTTGGCGTCGTGTCGGCAAAGTTTGGTGGTGCTGCGTCGGCACAGGCCGTTCCAGAGGCCGCTCCCTCCACTGCACATTTCGCAGCGCCGTCTGAGGAGGTAGCAGGTGGGTTTGCAGAGGTTGCTAACGAGGCTGCACAGGTTGGGAGCGCCTTTGCGCAGTTGGGTGGCAGTTTCAATGGTATATTGGATGTTTCGTTAGGGTTTCCTCCGACACCGGCAGGCGAGCATGGCAGTGGTGATGCGGACGCAGCGGCTACGCCCGTCAGTCAGATACTCCGGGATATACCTTCATGCAGCATGGGTGACATCACTAGCAGCATGTTGCAGGAGGCAGCAGCGGGGACACAGGGTTCGTCGGGGCAGGAGGAGTGTGCAGCAGGGGATGGTAGGGATTGTCGACCTGTGCAGGAGCGAGCGCCAGAGTCGGAGAAGGACAGGATCGACCGCGAGGAGAGGGAGAGGGCGCAGGACTTGGCTAGCCGTTGCGAGATGATACAGAGTATTGCGTCGAGGGCACGGGCAGAGCGGATGCTCGAGACGGGCAGTGGTGAGGGTCATCATGCGATGGACGATGCAGTGCTTGAGTGTGGCAATGCAGGCGGTGGGGATGCAGGCGAGAGACCCGCGTCACTGGTTCAGGGTGTTTGTATATTGCCTATCGGTGGAGCCATGACGGCGGGGGAGTTGGAGCGGCAGGCATGGGAGGACCCATTGCATGCAGATCGACGCGGACGGATGGATGAGGCGTCGAGGAGGGTCATGGCAGAGGGCCCAGCCTACGTGCCGCGCAGCCCGTCACTGCCATCGTCCACCACTGGTGCCACCACCTCCGTACATCCTGAGGGTGCCACTACTGCACCGGCACCTGCAGAGTCTCCTTCTCCCAAATCAGGGAAGAAGAAGATGAAAGCAGACAAGAGTCTCAGTACTGTGAGGAGGGTGACGCATGCGATGCGGGAGAGTCAGCCCGGGTTGGCCGGTTTACATCCGCGGACTCGGGAGGCATTGGCCCGGGACGTTGTCGCGGACACAGTAGGTTGGCGGGAGAGGGTCTCCACCTGGGCGACGGAGCAGCCCATGAAAGCACCTGCTGCGGCGGTGATGCCACGTACTGAGGGGTGCATACCAGGTAGGGAGGAGGAGGCGGAGCATAGTGGCCCGCCCAGGAGGAGCATGGCCGGACGTATATTGGGGGAGGATGTGAGGACGGTGCCTGCACAGCGACCGTCACAGACAGCATGCATTTTGGAGTCTGGTACCGATGATTTGGAGATGCCTCTTGGCCAGCGGAGGAGGGCTTCCGTGTACGACCTTCTTCGAGCACAGCACGGGGTTGAGGCGGCGCCACAGGGGGGGGGGTTCATGCTCCGGGTACTGCGCACAGGCCGGTAGGCGGCATAGGTGGCGGCGACGGTGTCACAGGTGTGGCGACGCAGAGGAGGAGGAAGAACATTGTGGACGACGATGATGCTTAGTCCCATCATTAGTCCTCTTTCGTTCTGTATTTCGTAGTAGTGTATACTATATTTAGTGCTTCGGATGATGTGATGTATTCATAGGTGTAGTGTATATTATATTTAGTGTTTCGTCATGACCACATTTGTATTTGTACAGATGGTTAGACTACTGCGCAGTTTTCCATACACAGGTGCAATAGGTGCAGATTGTTGTTTCTTTTTCGTTTTATTTTTGCATCGATGTTTCAGAGAATTGCACTCTTTGTTCAGACATGGGCGCAGCACCTGCAGCGCTTGCATTGTTTTTGTTTTCCTTCTACTTTGCTAGCGATGTTTCAGACGATTGCACACTGTATTCACACATTATTCGATTGAGTTCAGTATTCATGCTTCATTTATTGTTGTGTATCTATGGTGCAGTTGTTTCGCGTTGTTGTTATGTTGCCCTGTAATGTTGTACCTTCTAAATTTCTGCAACGATTATCACTCGCAGATGATCTTCAATGACTCAATGCTTTTGAAAACTGTTTGTAATTGTTGTTGTTTGAAATCACGAACTTGATGTACGCTTATGCTTGTTTCGTCCTGATGTTCGTTCGCCTGTGATGCATTTGTCAACATCCCCCACCCAACCCTCCCCAAGGGGAAACCAAAGGATGACCTTGGCAAAGACTTCCCGAAGGACCCCTGATAATGCCCCCACCGCCTACCCAGATGTCCCCGTCACCAATGTCTCCGTCACCAAACCCCACCCAACACCCCTAAAACGACCCTCACACGGTGAACCAATGCACCACAGAACAACTCCCCCTAACGACCCCCTCCCCTGCCCCAATTTTTTTTTTTTTTTTTCACGTATTCAACACCTCCACACAGACCCCCCAGTGGCGAGAACACGCCCCTCCCCCCCCCCCCAAAAAAATTATTAAACCCCCACCCCTCATCACCCCAATGAAAAAAAGGACCCCTGATAATGCCCCCACCGCCTACCCAGATGTCCCCGTCACCAATGTCTCCGTCACCAAACCCCACCCAAACCCCCTAAAACGACCCTCACACGGTGAACCAATGC